ACTTTATTAACGTCTAACTTTTGGTGTGTGGGTCCGGTCTTTTGTTGAATAGGAGGTTAAATTTGGAAATCAGGTTTTCCTTACATTTGGTCGACATAGTAGCAGCTGAAGAGGCAGTCATATTGTCTACATGTTCCCAATCCGATGTGGACATTATTGCCGTCAATGATAAGTGTGATTTGTAGAGTGTCTTGTCTAACTGATCTAGTTCTGTGCGTATAAGTCTGATTTTTTCTGAGATAAGAGCTAAGCTAGTTTTGAAAAGAATTCGTTTCGCATTAGAAGAAGTTACAGTAGCAGAGGTGAGTGTAAATGCGATTGGTATTACCCCAGAGTCGCGGCATCTCTTCAGGAAGGTGAGAGACTCGATCAGCTGAGCTTTCTTATCCCGGAGTTTGTTGAAAGATCTTAAAGTTATGTGAAAACCCTCCCCGTAGAGGCGATTAAATTTTGATTTAAAGCTTTCGTGACTGCAGTAATTCATATTCTTAGTTTTTTTCGGTAAAGTCACGTTGAAGAGAAACAACAAAATAACAAAATATATATAAAACAATAAAAATTCTCACGACGTTTCGACCATAACTCAAACGGTCATCATCAGGTGTGTCGGTTTGCATAAATTTATTTTGCAAACGGCATATTTATTTATTTATTTATATAAAAATAACGTTTGCGTCACGCGCAACGATTGGCTGTTTGCCAGGACTAGTCCATCTATTTTTTTTTTAAAAGAGGAGGGGGGAGACGAAATTTGTTTTTATGTCTGCTGTCTGAAAGCCACTGTAAGCGTGAACAATCAATCAAGAACTGAAATGATTTATCAAATCTTTCCAATGATTGCTAAGATAGAATCCATCTTCTCGGTTGAAATTGTCTCTGTGTTTGTATATGTGGATAGCCTCATGAACGAATCTCTCATGGAAGCCAGATGGCTTACAAAGAACCTCCGTCTTGGAAAAGTCAATGGCATGTGAGCCTACTGAATTAGAACAATGATCTGCTACGGCCGAGGTGTTGGTCCTACCGTGTTTAAGGTCTGCTTTATGTTCACGAATGCGGTCCGAGATATGGCGTTTGGTTTCTCCAATGTAACTACTACCACAGAGGCAACTTAGTTTGTAGACACCAGGGTATTGTATGTCCGGAATCACATCTTTTACAGACGGAACCAGATCACGGATTTTATGTAATGTGTTGAAACGGACCTGGATCTTGTGTTTATTCAAGATTTTGGAGATCTTTTTTGTGATCCCAGCAATGTAGGGTAAAGTGATGGTTTTGAAAGGCTCCTCAAGAGGGTTCTTCTTCATGGTTTGAGTGATAGCTTTGCGGATTGTATAGTCGGAGTAACCATTAGCCCTAAGAGCTTGGTGTACGTGCTTGAGTTCACTGCTTATGTGTTCCTGGTCGGATATGCATTGGGCTCTATGATACAGAGTCTTGATGAGAGAATTCTTCTGTGATGGATGGTGGTGGGAATCCGGTTTCAGATAAGCATCCGTATAGGTAGCTTTCCTGTAGACAGAGTGGCTCATTGAACCATCAGGTCTCTTTTTAATTAGGACAAGTTATGTGAAAACCCTCCCCTCTACGGGGAGGGTTTTCACATAACTTTAAGATCTTTCAACAAACTCCGGGATAAGAAAGCTCAGCTGATCGAGTCTCTCACCTTCCTGAAGAGATGCCGCGACTCTGGGGTAATACCAATCGCATTTACACTCACCTCTGCTACTGTAACTTCTTCTAATGCGAAACGAATTCTTTTCAAAACTAGCTTAGCTCTTATCTCAGAAAAAATCAGACTTATACGCACAGAACTAGATCAGTTAGACAAGACACTCTACAAATCACACTTATCATTGACGGCAATAATGTCCACATCGGATTGGGAACATGTAGACAATATGACTGCCTCTTCAGCTGCTACTATGTCGACCAAATGTAAGGAAAACCTGATTTCCAAATTTAACCTCCTATTCAACAAAAGACCGGACCCACACACCAAAAAGTTAGACGTTAATAAAGTCGTAATTAATCGCAGTAACAGTTCTATTTCCGATGGTCTGAAATCCGTTTTAGCTAAAGGTCTAAACTTTGCAGTCACACCTAAACACATACCAGTTAATGATATAATTGCCCAAGTAGACGTTGCTCTCAGGGGCCTGGGTCACATCGCTGCAGACGTAGCAAGATCTGAAATCGCTGCAACCCTCAAAAACGCTAAGATGCCAGCTAGCAACCTCAGCAAAAATGAGCGTTTTGAATTATATAAATGAAAAAAGAGGAATGATATTGTAGTTCTCTCAGCTGACAAAGGCAATGCTACTGTTATCATGGATAAAATAGAATACAACAACAAAATTAAAGAATTACTCGACGATGGTAGTTATACAAAAATAAAAAGAGATCCCACCAACAGCCTCGTCACACAAACCAACAAAATAATTTCTGATTCAACCGCATTAATTGATCAATCTAAACAGTTTTCATTGAAACCTTCTGCTGCCAGGCCACCAAGATTATACGGCTTACAAAAAATACATAAAGTTGATACACCTCTTCGTCCCATAGTCTCTACTATCAGCTCCCCCACCTACAAACTAGCTCGTTTTTTGTCTGAAATCCTGCGTCCTTTCACTGGAAAGACCACCTCTGCGGTACAAAATTCTACTCACCTGGTATCAACAATCAAGGGTATTTCCCTGTCCCCAGACGACCTGCTTGTCAGTTTTGATGTAGTTTCCTTATTCACCAAGGTTCCTGTACCTGACACCATTGCAATCATTGAAGACTTGGTTCATCAAGGACTAAACACTGAGGTACCCCCCCCTGGTGAGACACTGTTTAACCAATACATACTTCACTTGGAATGGAACTTTCTACAAACAAACTGAGGGCACCCCAATGGGCTCCCCCCTTTCTCCAGTTATAGCTAACATTTTCATGGAGAAATTTGAGACTGACGCCATCCAGACTGCCACTCTGCGCCCAACCTTATGGAAGAGGTACGTGGATGACATTTTTGTCATCTGGCCACATGGCCGGCCTGCTCTAGACCAATTCTTCGACCACATCAATTCCATACACCCAGCCATCAGATTTACCATGGAAGTCGAAATAGATGGCAAGATACCTTTTTTGGATGTCCTAATTAAAAAGAGACCTGATGGTTCAATGAGCCACTCTGTCTACAGGAAAGCTACCCATACGGATGCTTATCTGAAACCGGATTCCCACCACCATCCATCACAGAAGAATTCTCTCATCAAGACTCTGTATCATAGAGCCCAATGCATATCCGACCAGGAACACATAAGCAGTGAACTCAAGCACGTACACCAAGCTCTTAGGGCTAATGGTTACTCCGACTATACAATCCGCAAAGCTATCACTCAAACCATGAAGAAGAACCCTCTTGAGGAGCCTTTCAAAACCATCACTTTACCCTACATTGCTGGGATCACAAAAAAGATCTCCAAAATCTTGAATAAACACAAGATCCAGGTCCGTTTCAACACATTACATAAAATCCGTGATCTGGTTCCGTCTGTAAAAGATGTGATTCCGGACATACAATACCCTGGTGTCTACAAACTAAGTTGCCTCTGTGGTAGTAGTTACATTGGAGAAACCAAACGCCATATCTCGGACCGCATTCGTGAACATAAAGCAGACCTTAAACACGGTAGGACCAACACCTCGGCCGTAGCAGATCATTGTTCTAATTCAGTAGGCTCACATGCCATTGACTTTTCCAAGACGGAGGTTCTTTGTAAGCCATCTGGCTTCCATGAGAGATTCGTTCATGAGGCTATCCACATATACAAACACAGAGACAATTTCAACCGAGAAGATGGATTCTATCTTAGCAATCATTGGAAAGATTTGATAAATCATTTCAGTTCTTGATTGATTGTTCACGCTTACAGTGTCTTTCAGACAGCAGACATAAAAACAAATTTCGTCTCCCCCCTCCTCTTTTAAAAAAAAAATAGATGGACTAGTCCTGGCAAACAGCCAATCGTTGCGCGTGACGCAAACGTTATTTTTATATAAATAAATAAATATGCCGTTTTCAAAATAAATTTATGCAAACCGACACACCTGATGATGACCGTTTGAGTTATGGTCGAAACGTCGTGAGAATTTTTTATTGTTTTATATATATTTTGTTATTTTGTTGTTTCTCTTCAACGTGACTTTACCGAAAAAACTAAGAATATCTCCCTGACTTGTTAAAGCAGAGCGTTTCCCTCCAGACCCCCCCTGCTTTGGCTGAGCAGAGGGTTTCCCTCCAGACCCCGCCTGCCTTGTCAGAGCAGAGGGTTTTCCTCTAGACTCCCCTGCCTTGCCAGACCAGAGGGTTTCCCTCCAAACCCCCTGCCTTGCCAGACCAGAGGGTTTCCCTCCAGACCCCGCTGCCTTGCCAGACCAGAGGGTTTCCCTCCAGATCCCCCCATACTTTGTCAGAACAGAGGGTTTTCCTCCAGACCCCCCTGCCATGCCAGAGCAGAAGGTTTCCCTCCAGACACCCCCTGCATTGCCAAATCAGAGCGTTTCCCTCCAAACCCTCCCTGCCTTGCCAGACCAGAGGGTTTCCCTCCAGACCCCCGCCCTCCCTTGTCAGAGCAGACGGTTTCCCTCCAGACTCTCCATGCTTTGCCAAAACAAAGGGTTTTCCACCAGACCCTCCCTGCCTTGCCAGAGCAGATGGTTCCTCTTCTTTGGTTCTTTCGGTAAAGTCACGTAGAATGAGAATAAAATAATAAATTGATAAAATAAAATAACACAATAAAATTCTCACGACGTTTCGGCCACAACACAAGCGGCCTTCATCAGGTGAAGGGACGAGACTGTCTGGACGACAGCGCTGGAGCTCCAGACAGTCTCGTCCCTTCACCTGATGAAGGCCACTTGTGTTGTGGCCGAAACGTCGTGAGAATTGTATTGTGTTATTTTATTTTACCAATTTATTATTTTATTATTTTATTCTACGTGACTTTACTGAAAGAACAAAAGAAGATTAATCCTTGCAGTCACGAAAGCTGTAAATCGAAGGTTCCCTATCTGTTAACAATGCCCCATGTTATGAGATAGGGAACCGGTTCCGATAGGAAGTCTAGGGGCCATGTTAAGAGATAGGGAGAGGGTTCCCTATCTGTTAAGAATGCCCGATAGGAAGTCGAGGGGCCATGTTAAGAGATATGGAGAGGGTTCCCTATCTGTTAAGAATGCCTCATGTTATGAGATAGGGAACCGGTTCCATACCTGTTAACATGGGGCCATGTTCAGAGATGGGGAACCGGTTCCCATAGGAAGTCTATAGGTAATGTTAAGAGATAGGGAACCGGTTCCCGTAGGAAGTCTATGGGCAATGTTAAGAGATAGGGAACCGGTTCCCACATGTCATTAATATTAACGACCTCATGAATATTCATGAGTCGTCGTCTTCCTCACCACCGACATCGCCACTTGCGGCCTGCAATGGCGGGCGAGCTGCCTGATCCGCTGTCATTCTTCGTCTTGGCCGCCTCCTCCAACGACAGCGACGGGAGCAGCAGCGACGAGGAGGAGGAGGGTGGAAGAGGTGGACGAGGAGGAGGTGCAGGAGGAGGTGGAGGCGGTGGCGGTGGAGCGAAACGGCTCTGCACGGAGCAGAGGGGAAGTGGTGGTGATGGTGGTGGAGGTACACAGAGCGGTGGTGCAGTGGTTAGCGCACTGTGTGTGTGAGTGGGGAGTGGTGGTGCAGTGGTTAGCGCACTGTGTGTGTGAGTGGGGAGTGGTGGTGCAGTGGTTGGCGCACTGTGCGTGTGAGTGGGGAGTGGTGGTGCAGTGGTTAGCGCACTGTGTGTGTGTGAGTGGGGAGTGGTGGTGCAGTGGTTAGCGCACTGTGTGAGTGGGGAGTGGTGGTGCAGTGGTTAGCGCACTGTGTGTGAGTGGGGAGTGGTGGTGCAGTGGTTAGCGCACTGTGCGTGTGAGTGTGGGGAGTGGTGGTGCAGTGGTTGGCGCACTGTGTGTGTGAGTGGGGAGTGGTGGTGCAGTGGTTAGCGCACTGTGTGTGTGAGTGGGGAGTGGTGGTGCAGTGGTTAGCGCACTGTGTGAGTGGTGAGTGGTGGTGCAGTGGTTAGCGCACTGTGTGAGTGGGGAGTGGTGGTGCAGTGGTTGGCGCACTGTGTGAGTGGGGAGTGGTGGTGCAGTGGTTAGCGCACTGTGTGTGAGTGAGTGGGGAGTGGTGGTGCAGTGGTTAGCGCACTGTGTGAGTGGGGAGTGGTGGTGCAGTGGTTAGCGCAGTGTGTGAGTGGGGAGTGGTGGTGCAGTGGTTGGCGCACTGTGTGTGTGAGTGGGGGGAGTGGTGGTGCAGTGGTTAGCGCAGTGTGTGAGTGGGGAGTGGTGGTACAGTGGTTAGCGCACTGTGTGTGTGAGTGGGGAGTGGTGGTGCAGTGGTTAGCGCACTGTGTGTGTGAGTGGGGAGTGGTGGTGCAGTGGTTGGCGCACTGTGGGTGTGAGTGGGGAGTGGTGGTGCAGTGGTTAGCGCACTGTGTGTGTGTGAGTGGGGAGTGGTGGTGCAGTGGTTAGCGCACTGTGTGAGTGGGGAGTGGTGGTGCAGTGGTTAGCGCACTGTGTGTGAGTGGGGAGTGGTGGTGCAGTGGTTAGCGCACTGTGCGTGTGAGTGTGGGGAGTGGTGGTGCAGTGGTTGGCGCACTGTGTGTGTGAGTGGGGAGTGGTGGTGCAGTGGTTAGCGCACTGTGTGTGTGAGTGGGGAGTGGTGGTGCAGTGGTTAGCGCACTGTGTGAGTGGTGAGTGGTGGTGCAGTGGTTAGCGCACTGTGTGAGTGGGGAGTGGTGGTGCAGTGGTTGGCGCACTGTGTGAGTGGGGAGTGGTGGTGCAGTGGTTAGCGCACTGTGTGTGAGTGAGTGGGGAGTGGTGGTGCAGTGGTTAGCGCACTGTGTGTGTGTGAGTGGGGAGTGGTGGTGCAGTGGTTAGCGCAGTGTGTGAGTGGGGAGTGGTGGTGCAGTGGTTGGCGCACTGTGTGTGAGTGAGTGGGGAGTGGTGGTGCAGTGGTTAGCGCACTGTGTGTGTGTGAGTGGGGAGTGGTGGTGCAGTGGTTAGCGCAGTGTGTGAGTGGGGAGTGGTGGTGCAGTGGTTGGCGAACTGTGTGTGTGAGTGGGGGGAGTGGTGGTGCAGTGGTTAGCGCAGTGTGTGAGTGGGGAGTGGTGGTACAGTGGTTAGCGCACTGTGTGTGTGAGTGGGGAGTGGTGGTGCAGTGGTTAGCGCACTGTGTGTGTGAGTGGGGAGTGGTGGTGCAGTGGTTGGCGCACTGTGCGTGTGAGTGGGGAGTGGTGGTGCAGTGGTTAGCGCACTGTGTGTGTGTGAGTGGGGAGTGGTGGTGCAGTGGTTAGCGCACTGTGTGAGTGGGGAGTGGTGGTGCAGTGGTTAGCGCACTGTGTGTGAGTGGGGAGTGGTGGTGCAGTGGTTAGCGCACTGTGCGTTTGAGTGTGGGGAGTGGTGGTGCAGTGGTTGGCGCACTGTGTGTGTGAGTGGGGAGTGGTGGTGCAGTGGTTAGCGCACTGTGTGTGTGAGTGGGGAGTGGTGGTGCAGTGGTTAGCGCACTGTGTGAGTGGTGAGTGGTGGTGCAGTGGTTAGCGCACTGTGTGAGTGGGGAGTGGTGGTGCAGTGGTTGGCGCACTGTGTGAGTGGGGAGTGGTGGTGCAGTGGTTAGCGCACTGTGTGTGAGTGAGTGGGGAGTGGTGGTGCAGTGGTTAGCGCACTGTGTGTGTGTGAGTGGGGAGTGGTGGTGCAGTGGTTAGCGCAGTGTGTGAGTGGGGAGTGGTGGTGCAGTGGTTGGCGCACTGTGTGTGTGAGTGGGGGGAGTGGTGGTGCAGTGGTTAGCGCAGTGTGTGAGTGGGGAGTGGTGGTACAGTGGTTGGCGCACTGTGTGTGAGTAGGGAGTGGTGGTGCAGTGGTTGGCGCACTGTGTGTGTGAGTGGGGAGTGGTGGTGCAGTGGTTGGCGCACTGTGTGTGAGTGGGGAGTGGTGGTGCAGTGGTTAGCGCACTGTGTGTGTGTGGGGAGTGGTGGTGCAGTGGTTAGCGCAGTGTGTGAGTGGGGAGTGGTGGTGCAGTGGTTGGCGCACTGTGTGTGTGAGTGGGGAGTGGTGGTGCAGTGGTTGGCGCACTGTGTGTGTGAGTGGGGAGTGGTGGTGCAGTGGTTAGCGCACTGTGTGTGAGTGGGGTGTGGTGGTGCAGTGGTTAGCGCACTGTGTGTGTGTGGGGAGTGGTGGTGCAGTGGTTAGCGCACTCTGTGTGTGTGGGGAGTGGTGGTGCAGTGGTTAGCGCACTGTGTGTGTGTGAGTAGGGAGTGGTGGTGCAGTGGTTAGCACACTGTGTGAGTGGGGAGTGGTGGTGCAGTGGTTAGCGCACTGTGCGTGTGAGTGGTGGTGCAGTGGTTAGCGCACTGTGTGTGTGTGGGGAGTGGTGGTGCAGTGGTTAGCGCACTCTGTGTGTGTGGGGAGTGGTGGTGCAGTGGTTAGCACACTGTGTGTGTGTGAGTAGGGAGTGGTGGTGCAGTGGTTAGCACACTGTGTGAGTGGGGAGTGGTGGTGCAGTGGTTAGCGCACTGTGCGTGTGAGTGGTAGTGCAGTGGTTAGCGCACTGTGTGTGTGAGTGGGGGGAGTGGTGGTGCAGTGGTTAGCGCAGTGTGTGTGTGAGTGGGGAGTAGTGGTGCAGTGGTTAGCGCACTGTGTGTGTGAGTGGGGAGTGGTGGTGCAGTGGTTGGCGCACTGTGTGTGTGAGTGGGGAGTGGTGGTGCAGTGGTTAGCGCACTGTGTGTGTGTGAGTGGGGAGTGGTGGTGCAGTGGTTGGCGCACTGTGTGTGTGAGTGGGGGGAGTGGTGGTGCAGTGGTTGGCGCACTGTGTGAGTGGGGAGTGGTGGTGCAGTGGTTGGCGCACTCTGCGTGAATGGGGAGTGGTGGTGCGGTGGTTAGCGCACTGTGTGTGTGAGTGGGGAGTGGTGGTACAGTGGCTAGCGCACTGTGTGTGAGTGAGTGGGGAGTGGTGGTGCAGTGGTTAGCGCACTGTGTGTGTGTGAGTGGGGAGTGGTGGTGCAGTGGTTAGCGCAGTGTGTGAGTGGGGAGTGGTGGTGCAGTGGTTGGCGCACTGTGTGTGTGAGTGGGGGGAGTGGTGGTGCAGTGGTTAGCGCAGTGTGTGAGTGGGGAGTGGTGGTACAGTGGTTGGCGCACTGTGTGTGAGTGGGGAGTGGTGGTGCAGTGGTTAGCGCACTGTGTGTGTGTGGGGAGTGGTGGTGCAGTGGTTAGCGCAGTGTGTGAGTGGGGAGTGGTGGTGCAGTGGTTGGCGCACTGTGTGTGTGAGTGGGGAGTGGTGGTGCAGTGGTTGGCGCACTGTGTGTGTGAGTGGGGAGTGGTGGTGCAGTGGTTGGCGCACTGTGTGTGAGTGGGGAGTGGTGGTGCAGTGGTTAGCGCACTGTGTGTGTGTGGGGAGTGGTGGTGCAGTGGTTAGCGCACTCTGTGTGTGTGGGGAGTGGTGGTGCAGTGGTTAGCACACTGTGTGTGTGTGAGTAGGGAGTGGTGGTGCAGTGGTTAGCACACTGTGTGAGTGGGGAGTGGTGGTGCAGTGGTTAGCGCACTGTGCGTGTGAGTGGTGGTGCAGTGGTTAGCGCACTGTGTGTGTGAGTGGGGGGAGTGGTGGTGCAGTGGTTAGCGCAGTGTGTGTGTGAGTGGGGAGTAGTGGTGCAGTGGTTAGCGCACTGTGTGTGTGAGTGGGGAGTGGTGGTGCAGTGGTTGGCGCACTGTGTGTGTGAGTGGGGAGTGGTGGTGCAGTGGTTAGCGCACTGTGTGTGTGTGAGTGGGGAGTGGTGGTGCAGTGGTTGGCGCACTGTGTGTGTGAGTGGGGGGAGTGGTGGTGCAGTGGTTGGCGCACTGTGTGTGTGGGGAGTGGTGGTGCAGTGGTTGGCGCACTCTGCGTGAATGGGGAGTGGTGGTGCGGTGGTTAGCGCACTGTGTGTGTGAGTGGGGAGTGGTGGTACAGTGGCTAGCGCACTGTGTGTGTGAGTGGGGAGTGGTGGTGCAGTGGTTAGCGCACTGTGTGTGAGTGGTGAGTGGTGGTGCAGTGGTTAGCGCACTGTGTGTGAGTGGGGAGTGGTGGTGCAGTGGTTGGCGCACTGTGTGTGTGAGTGGGGAGTGGTGGTGCAGTGGTTAGCGCACTGTGTGTGAGTGGGGAGTGGTGATGCAGTGGTTGGCGCACTGTGTGTGTGAGTGGGGAGTGGTGGTGCAGTGGTTAGCGCACTGTGTGTGTGAGTGGGGAGTGGTGGTGCAGTGGTTAGCGCACTGTGTGTGTGAGTGGGGAGTGGTGGTGCAGTGGTTAGCGCACTGTGTGTGTGAGTGGGGAGTGGTGGTGCAGTGGTTAGCGCACTGTGTGAGTGGGGAGTTTTGGTGCGGTGGTTAGCGCACTGTGTGTGTGAGTGGGGAGTGGTGGTGCAGTGGTTAGCGCACTGTGTGTGAGTGGGGAGTGGTGGTGCAGTGGTTAGCGCACTGTGTGTGTGAGTGGGGAGTGGTGGTGCAGTGGTTAGCGCACTGTGTTTGAGTGGGGAGTGGTGGTGCAGTGGTTAGCGCACTGTGTGTGTGAGTGGGGAGTGGTGGTGCAGTGGTTAGCGCACTGTGTGTGTGAGTGGG